AACATTAAACAATAAATAATATTAATTACAGCGAACAAATGTCAAAATAAAGCTTATTACTACAATATTTTTTGTATATTATTTAAAATATAGTATTAAAGATAATATGCTTCCCGGATATGTGAGTAATACTTACGTGTCACACTGAAAAAGTTTGAGGTTTTTGGTATAGTATACAACATACATCAGAAGGTCAGACGTTTGACTTAGGTTAGACTATAGCTTTAACGATATCTAATAACACCCAAATTTATAGGCTGTGGTAAACCTTGCAAAGGTCAATAAAAACATTTGGTAAGCAAAGTTTGCGACATCTTCAGTTGTTCAAGCTTGACCACAAGAATGCGACTCAATCTGAAGGTTACGTAAAGCTTGCTTATTTAATAACTAAAAGTGTTTAGTAGAACTACAACTCTCGCGCCGAACGCGTGTATTCAAGCGCGCGAGTTCGAAATTCAAATCGTGTATTTTTTTCGGGTGATTAAGGTTGACTGTGATTTAATGTATTTTTTGTTTGCGTGATTTAAAATTCTATTTTTAATTTTTAATCGACTAAGGGTGGCTCTCCCTTGGCCTTGACATAAAAGTGACAGGACTTGCAAATATTTTGTGACGTCACGAAACGGGTAAAAACCAAAAGCGGTCGCATACGAAATTTCTATTTATTTTTCTTAATAACTATAACATAAATATATTTAATCTGTTTTGGATTACAGTTAAAAAGTTTATTACGTAAAATTTAAGATATTTAAAAATATATAAATTTAATGTTATTCAATTAAGGCTTTTTTTGTTCGCGAAATAGATTTCCTAAAAATAATTTTTATATATATTCGACTTAAGATCATTCATTACATTATACATATTGTACATATTCATAACAAAACGTGTTTATCCACTAAAGTTTTATAAGCAGGTAGTAATCAAATTTTAATCATTTAACCGGATTTAAATTGAACTTTAAACTAATGAAATATAAAAGGACCTTCAGGTTTGATAAGTATGTCATAAAAGATGCATCACTTTAAATCAGTCTCACCTTCGGTAAAGGTTAATTTATTCAGTAAAAAATAAAGGCATTTGAATATAGAAAAGAATGTTAAAGATTAGAATAACTAACATTATATACAATAAAGACTTTTTAGACAGAGATATCTGGCTGGAAAACAAAAAAATATCGCTTTTAAAATAATTTAAAAATGGAATCATATCGTATCCGATTTACTTTATAACTAATACAGAGTACTCAACAATTATGTCATTACATAATGTGTCATTATTTAATTATCTCATTAAATTATTACCTCTGAGCGAATCAATGTCTAATTTAGTATCGGTCTGATACGTTTGATTGGTAAAATATTAGTGTGATGAATCATATTGAAATGTCAATTCAAGAAAATAGAGATAATATTACCGTCTGAAATCTACGAAATGCGATGATCATTTATTAAACCGTCTTGCCTCTCGCTATTATTAGTCATTTGACATTTAATCTATATTCTTTTTTTTTTAATAAATACCAATCGAGTTCTCTTAGTAATTGCTTCGCTGGCCACATTCTTTATTATTTTTTACTTTGTTACAATAACTATGCACTATACCGTCGTGAGTAAAGTTTTATATATTAGTACAGTACATATACAATATATTGTTTCACTGAGATCGAGCTCAGGATATTCGATAAGCCATGTGCGAACACTGCTAATACACAGATGGCTTTTTAGTGTGTTGCAAAAACATAGTTTTTTCTAAGATTTACGAAATTAATCTAACAGGTAGTGTTGCCAGTTAAAATGACGCTTAACTTTATGTAAGAGTAAACCATTACATAATTATGTAAACCAACAGGTAGAGACTAGTTGCGTCTATGGCGATTTGAAATTTCTGAATGGAAACTGCATTTTTCCTTTAATAACGTAATTATATACAAGTAAATATTAGCTTAATCATTCTTTACAAATACAAGAACTGAAAATTTTATTTAAAAATCCAGGTATATTTACTTTGTGGGAATATTATCTTTATTTCAGTTCTGCAAATGATCTATTATATATAAACGAATAAATAAAATAGGTAATCATTTTTTTAATATTATTTTTATGTGTTTGAAACAATAATAACTTTTACCGGATAAAAATGTGTATTTACTATGATTTAAATTTCATTTCGTTTTCAATCCCTTCAGTTAAAATAACTCAAAATAAATGGATTTAAATGATTGTTGATATTAAAATAGATTACATTGCACAAAATAGATATTAAAGTTCAAAACAGTTAAAATTAAAAATAATTCTACTAAATTATTATATTCTGAGAAATTTTAAAAATACGCAAGCTATGCCAGTTGTACGTTTTATGTGCAATAAAACCGGTAAACTATTTGGCGTTTCCATTAAGTTAATTTCCTCAATTAAAAAATAATATGAATGCTTTTATAATTTATAAATGTAAAAATATAGACGGAAATAATGGACATGAAATGTCCTAGAGTATAGACAAGAATTTAGCGTTAGCTGTGGCATTCGAACCATAGGTTGCTAGATGCTTCATAGACAATTTCCTTAACTCCTAGAATTCATAGATTATAGATTCGTTTCGAATAGTGTTTGTGATTAATCATAGTTCATAATAGTAATAGTTTTCAATTACACCATTATGAAAGCGCGGGAAAATTTCAATCTGGCAATTGACAGCGAAATAAACGAATGCTGAACTAAAGTGAACGTTAATTTTCAAAGCAGCGTCCGACATTATGCCACATTGAAAATGTTACGTACATGATTTTTATCTTCCCCGCTAATACGTTATTATCCTCATAGCGTTACATGTAAGACTTACCAAATAACACTTATTATAACAATGTTGTAAATATTTTGAAATTTTGTTTGTTCATGTCACAACGCAATGTCGAAATTCGTAATGATGCATTGTTATTTAAGGAAGTATTTTTATCCCACAATTATGAGTAACCTCCGAATTTTCTTTAAAATTATTATGTAAATACTAGCTGCCCCCGGGAACTTTGTTTCTCCTTAATGTGGTTTTACATAAGCCTACCTTTTTAGTACATACCATGATACCAACATGGAACATTTTGCTATACGCTATAGTTATATGCTATAGTTTTCTGGAATGAAAACTTTTTAGGTTTATCTGTGAATTTTTCTCTATATAAACCTCGGAGTTCAAGTCAAAAATAGGGGTTGATCGTAGATGGGTGAAAATTAAGGGTTGTGTATTTTTGTATGTTATTTAAAAAAATAAAATTTAGGGGTCGTACCCGTGGGAACGAACATTGTGACACGAGAATTATATATTTTATATAATTATCGTGTTTATATATTAGATTTATTTAATGCATAAACAAATATATTTTAATTTAAACTAAATACTATAATATCATTATAACTACTGAGACAATCATAAGTCTCTATGTAGAGTAATCCTTAATGAAACTTCGGCAATAACATTTTTTCGCCAGGAATAGAACTTACAGCCATTAGGTTATGTTTATTATTATTGTGCCAATTAATTCAAATTCTATACAATCAATGTATGGTTAGTTATTAATATGTCCGATCTATCTTCTACCTGTCTATCAAATACCTCTCTATAAAACTACCTGACGTAATCGAAAGCTTTAAGTGTATATACTTATGGTGGCCTTTTCCTCATCCTGCAGCAGCCAGGCCCAAGTGGAAAAAGCAGACCACGCCGTACAAGCATTGTGTGTTACCAAATATCGCTCAACATCGCCTCGTCCGATTATTTAAGTCTAAAAGACAAAAAACAAACGACAACTTGACAATAAGTATATCTAAAAAGAATTTTTAAGACGCTTCCGCATTATTAATTAAAGAATTACAATATTTTAATGTCATCTCAAGTGAAAACAATATTAATGAGTTATAGGACCGATCGTGTAACGTACGAAAAGGTTACCACTGATTTAATTAATTGAATTTGTAAACAAGTAGGTATTAATGAAATTTGCGCGTGCCATTAACATATTGGAACGTATTGAGTGGTATGCTTACAAGTTATAGGTTAAAGAAAAAACTTTTTAACCGGATTAAAGTTATGTATTATTATAAATTTATATATAATATTTAATACATAACTTTAATCCGGTTAAAAAGTTTTTTCTTTAAATGTGTAAAGGTTATGTTAATCAAAGACAATACTAGTTATAGGTTAGATCATTATTTAAAAAACTATGATAAAGGACGTTTTAAATAGCCTGGACCAATTACAACCTCAGCACACACGCATTATATCACTTGAAACGAACCGAATGGGAAAAGGGAAAACTTTTTTTTATATATCTCTCATTATATTTTTTATTTTATTTTTTCTTTGATTATTGTTATTTCGTGTGTTTATTTGTGTGTGTTTTTGTTAGTAATAAACGTTATCTCTATGTCGATGTCTAAATATGTGAAAAAATCTTTGATAATTGTTAAGAACAGTTTAGTTATTCTAATAACTTAGGTATTTTAACTGTTATAGTATCCTACCGCTCGATTATGCACCAATTTTTTTAATGTAATTAATTTTAAATGAATGTTGAGGAAGATTAAAGTAAGCAACTTTAATTATTTATTGAAAGCTTGTCAACAACGCCTTTTGGCCATTTTTTAACTGGCAACCATAGAATATAGCAACAGGTGACTGTAAATAATTAACATTAATACACCTATTTACACCTGGCAAACCTAACGATGCGACTGACTGAGAGATGTCAAACTGTTTTGTCAATTCTCTAAATCATTTAAAGTGACGTAAATTTAATCAAAAATAGTTGCAATGTATCGTGCATGCTCTCTCAAAATCCATTTAAAATTTTATCAAAAAAACAGATAACTCGACCAATATAATTGACGAACCAATTCCTGTTGTAACAGTATTAAAATAAAAATTACCTTATATCACAGTCGCTCATAATATCGTTTTTCTATAGCAATTAAGTGTACAAGTGTTTAATAGAACCATACAAAATGATTCATCAATATTTGATTGTGGTATTACTGGTCATGAGCTGCATCGCTGACACCAAAACTGTCAACTATCAATCACCACTCGGCAATTTTGGAGGGAAATCAGGTATTTTGTTTTTTTTCTTTAAGTATATAATATTCTGTGACTACAACAGATTATGCTGATGTTTCACTTATTTAAAGTGATCTGGGGTCAACCAAAATTTCGGCCGCAAATAACGGAAATAGATTTTTTTTAAAGTATTTCTGTGGATTGGCCGTAAAATTAATTTGGACACGTTGTAGCTGTAAAGAAAAATAATGTATGCGTGTACTAGTGTAAACACGTAAGAAGAGAAACTTCTTTATGACCTTATTTTACGAAAAATTTAGATAAAGTTAACTTAGATAAAGTTTAAAAAAAGGCTTTTAGTATCATAGACATAGATAGAATAGAATAAATAAATAAAATACAAATAATACAATTATTTCTACCTTATTACTACTAAGATTATTACAGAATTTCATTAATTGTAATATAATTATTACTATCATTGTTATCGTTATTATATACATATTTTTGTTTTTAATATAAATTGTATACATTTTATGAACGCACTACACGGTTTTTGACATAAATAATAATGATTTAAAAGCATGATTTCTATTTATAACTAAACATAATATTGCAATATTAATTAAATATAACGTGAAAAAAATTATCCAATATAAATAACAGTACGTTGCGGTAAGCCTGAAGTTAGTTTTCAGAGGTAGGCAAACTTCACAAACAACAAATCTTGCAATTAATCAATAAACTGGATCCGAAATCGCAGGACAAGAAAATGATGGCGCGTAACGGAAAGATGTGACGACGTCACGTGACGTAATTTTTTTTCCAACGCCGATGAAGAAGTTTCACTTCAGTAATATGGTCTGTTATTTATGAATCATGTTTTATATGAATTGTCGTGTAATAGGTGCAAAACACATTTTTACATGTAAATTAATTTGTGTGTACATAAATTTCGGTTGAACGAATAATGTAGATTTATTGCGCTAAAAAAATACGACTGCCTTTTATGTAATGCATTAATTAAGAATAAATTAATTAATAAGAAAAAGTCTTACTCATTATAATTGTCAAGTCTGTTACATAAAAGTACTCCCAGAATGGCGCAAAATAAAAGAATATTAAAACAATAGCTAAGTGCCTAGGTCTTTGTTGAAGTCTTTTGATGCACTTTCTAAAAACTTGGGTCAGGTCAAGTTATCTCAATTTCTTTTATCGAATGCTACTAATCGCTGGCTTTTTGAAGTGAAACTTCTTTATCGAGGTTGGAAAAAAATTTAGTGTAAAATTTTTTCGTTACGCGTCACATTTTTCGGTTACGCGTCACATTTATCGGTTACGCGCCATGTTGCTTTTTGAAGTCAAACTTCTTTATCGGCGTTGGAATGAAACTTCTTTATCGACGTATGGGAGAAATTTTGTAGCAAATCTTCACGTTTTTCAATGATAGTAATAATTCTATTACAATTAATGAAATTCTATAATAATCTTCGTAGTAATAAGGTAAAATGAAATATTTGTATTCATGTCTATGATAATAAAAGCCTTTTGTTAAACTTTATCTAATTTAACGAATTTCTGTAAAGTTGCATATAGTAGATCATTTTTCGAAAAATAAGATCATAAAGAAGTTTCACTTCTTACGTGTGTAAACCTAGTACACGCACAATTTATTTTCTGTTGGAAGCTGTTCACCAGCTCACTGATAATTGAAGTTATAAACTATTAGACTCAATGTAATATATAAAAAAGTTTAATTAATTATTATGCCCAACTGTTCGAAAACTTTATACCTTCATAATATTATGATAAAATAAGGAGTCATTTTTAAACTTTCCGTTAACTACTGTTAAGATTATATACATAGGCAATGATAGCCATAGATATTCTATATTTCTCTTAAAGTTCGACGTTGTCTGTTCTATCTTTGTCATTGATATGTTTTATCTGTATGAATGTTACAGCAATTCTTTTTTTTAATGTAACCTCGAAAAGTGAAAGACAATTATTGTATCTTAAAATTTAGTATCGTTCAATCAGACTTAGGTAAAATTAAAATTTTTTATAAACGATAAAATATTAATGCTCTGTTATTGTCATGCCGAGTAACGCATTTTTGCTGTTAATATTTATATAGAGCCAAATAGATCACACTGGAAAACATTATTATTTCACCGGAAGTGTGCTCTGGCTATAATTGGCTATTAAGGCGGCCTCTGTTGTACTCTATATTTATACAATTTAGCGTAAAGATCGAACCCTCTATATATCAATAACTTAGCTTTAGTTTGATTGGATAATTTTTGTTTTGAAAGTTTACGTAAAATTTGTGGTCACTCAAAGTTCACTAAATGTTAAAAGGAATTGTCAAGAACAATCGGGCATTTTTATTACCGGAAATAACCTCGTATCAGAAATGCAATAAATTTAAGATAACTTATATCAACTTAAAATTACCGTCTTATTCTATTACCAACAGCCCGCTTCGCACGGCCGAACTTTCATTTTTTTAATGTTTTGGAAATAAAAATAATGTATATTACTCAGCAGTAATATAAGTATTTATTTCTTACATACATCTCTCCTCTTATACGGTGTATGTAGATTTGCTATGACCAGCGGTACCACGCGTTTGTACTGTCGTAACATGACGATACATCCTCGATAAATTGATAGTTAACAGAGAAATAGTCATAAGAACTAAATAACTTTTAATGCATTTTTTAACTAGTCTTTCTGTCAAATTATGCTTAAGGTGTGATGAAAAGAGACAGTTGACATCAGTACATTTCTAATTAAGTGCTGAGCTTTAAAACATATAGATCGATCTTTTCTTTAAGGCTATAAAAACAAAAGCCGCCAAAATTATATTAGAATTGGGCTAACTCACTTCATTTCATTCCACCATGCTGGATTTTATCATGAATAAAAGTTTAATGTTGTATAATATGCAATGAGAAATATATATGAAGAAAAAAAGAAATAATTATAAGATTACATTTCTAAGGCTATTATTAAAATAACATAATGTATTCTTAAAATAGAAATTACTCAAATGTCGAATAATATAAATATTACTGATATTTTAATGTCACCAAGATATTTGATACTGGAATTAATTAAAGACAAAAAATATTAATTTAATCAACGCAGTTTAGTATTATTTAATAAGAATAATTACAATTACGCAGTTAAACAAAATAATTGAAAGCAAGGATAAAAAATATTGAATTGTAGAAATTATCAATTTGACAGTAAATTTAAAACAATACTTTCATAACCATAGACAATAATTATTGACATAGACAAATTGTTGTCTATATGAGCGCTGATGTCGCAAACCTGAAATTACTCTACGAAAACTCCATATTTTAATCGAAATCGCTATTGAATTAAGTTGATACATATCATCTGACCTTAAGTATTTACAATTAATATAGCGGTGATTAGGAGCCTTATTGTACGGAACATACATTGTGTAACTTGCACTTGGCACGGTTAGCAATTGAAGGCCATACATAATATCACTTGCAAAACTTTTCCGAATGTATGCATATATATATATATAACTATGGCCACCTACACGAATAAAGTTTTTTGATTTAATTCATTGATTGATTCTCTTTAACCGGTAACGTTTAAAAATACATAAATGTCATACTACTTTTAAAAATCTAATAAATTATCTAGCGATATTAATCAAAGTTCTGGTCATAGATAGTAAATTACCATATTCATCATTGTCTTTAGAATAACATAGACAAGCAATCAATTTTGGAATAAATTTTCTCTATGATAAATATGCTTGAAAATAACCACAGATTATTCTATTGTAACAAATATCTTTGTGCTCTGTACATTTAATAAATATTTTTCTTAAGATGTTTTATTCTCTTTTTCAGATTGCTCAAGTTGTAGTGAGGATGATCTTGGCGTGACACGATGGACGATGCCGCTATTGAAGAGTGGAGAAAAAAGATATTATCTGGGCATATTCTTTAAGGTAACATTGATAAATTTCTTATTAAACAGTGACCCCGTAACAAATGATTAATCGTCTAACTGTTATGTTATTCCAAAATGATACCAAAAAAAAAAGAAAATTGTTATCCGAGTAAATTATTTTTGTAGTATTTTAAATCAATTACAAAATATTAGTCTGTTCTTGTAACTATTAAATTATTTGAACGCAGAACAATAAGTGAAATTAAGAAAAATATTAAAAAGGTTTGGTTTCAAATTTTAATTTACTTTTGGGCGAGTCCTGTCTGCGGCGTGACAATAATTCATGAATCAATTTAATAAAGGCTGGCTTTAAATTCTTATAACGTATATTTGGAAAAAATGCCTTTGTGACTCACCTGCATACGTAAGAGAAACTAGATCTTACCTATTAGAAATTTGAAAGTTTATTCCTTATCGATATAAAAATACCTTTAAGGCGCGGCGCTTTAAGGGCGCAATTTGCTTTTAGATTTTATGCTTGGTAATACTTATATTGTCTAGTACAACCTGGTGAACTAGGTACCGCCTAACAGTCAATACGTGTTACAGATTAGCCCAACTTAATTTATGATTTTATGAAACTAATACAATAAAAACAAAACTAATATTAAGCTCACTACTTTAAGAAAGAAATTAGCGTCAGAAAGTACATCCAATATATATGTAAATCCTTATTCATTACTGACATTTTATAAATCTGAAATTCGCCATTATCCGAATATCGTCGGATTCGAAATCTTTATTTAAATCTTTAATTTGAGGTGAGTGTTTACCGTATCGACGGGATGATAGTTATAAAACCTACGAACATTTTGTATTGGATTTTTGAAGTTATACTTCTTTAGGCGCGTTATGAAAAATTTATGAGAGTGAAATTTTACGATGCGCGCGCACCGTGACACAAAATTATCAGTATGGGTGCCGAGCGTGCGCGAGCGAGATGGGAATAAGACAATCTACAAGTAAATAGAAATAGAATATGCGTTAGCAGCTAAGCCAAGAATTTTGAATGACCGTAATGACATTTGTAGTACCTTTTAAACAAATAAAGGAGTTTTAATTATTTTTTCAAAGAAATTTAGCAATGCTTTTTAACATAGACCTATTGTTACTTAGTTAAAAGGTTATGAAACATACCTAGTTATTAAATTGAATTAATAATATAATAAATAATAATTATTATTAATATTAATTAATAATTGAATAATATACTAAATATTAAATATTGTTAAATTATTAACGCTAAATATTTATTATTAATTATTTAATATTTAAAAAAAAATAAAGAAAGCCAAAGAAGTATAACTTCTTACGCGCGTACATAAGTACACGCACCATTTTTTTTCGTATATGTTCCAGTTTTTAGTAGCTATAAGTGTTCGAACAAACCCGACTTTGTTTTACATATTAATATAATCTTATTTATTGTTCCTACTTAACCTTTGCTATTTACAAGATATAATATACACCTTTTATAAACATAATTTTTTTACTTGGACTTATATTAATATGTTTTAGATTGTTATCATTCTTGTCTTCTTAGATTGGAAATATAAATATTATGGATATTTCTGATATCTTGTAGTAATAATATTGTATAAATAGTGCTTACGTAATAGCTTTGATAGTTGCGTATTAAAGTCCATTCACCGCAATCGCACTGTTAAGGTTTCCAACAATGCCTTCATTACGCGAACTATTAACGAAGTAAATATAGTACTATATTTATTTATGTAGACTAAACAAGTAAGTAACTAAAAACTGAATTTCTGGCCCCTGATTTAAAGGCAATGTTAGAAATACTGTCACTGAACATCACACGTAAGGGGTGTAAAATAAAAATAATAAATCTAAAAATTAAAAATATCATATCATAGCTAACATTATGTGTATTATGAGCTTCAGTAAAACATTAAATGCTGACTTTACATTTACTGCCAGTTATCAAATAGGCGTAGAATGGACGAGAAGATCTGGCAATAAACTCTTCTACATTCCTTTCAATTGCCAAGTTTTTGTTTAAGGAGCTGCATCTTATTACCTCTATTTTTCACTTCTTTAAATTTAATCGTTACCAGGCCATAAAATTTAAAAATATAATAATTTAATATTATGTAATTAATGTCTTCATTGTTGTGTCTATTTATAAAATTCTTTCATAACATTTAAAACTTAACAATAACATGGTATTTCGCGTAAATGCGCCGTAGTATATCGTTACCTAGCATGCTATACGCAACATACAGCAGACTTACCAAATCACCACAGATCATGGACTAAACAAAACTCTAGAAGTTTTAACCACAGACATCAATACTTTTGGAATAGGTTCTCAGTCAGGAAACGACAATTTAAATTCTTGACTCAATCATACAATTTTTCTACAACTCGTCAAGCCAGTTTCCGTTTCACAGAATATCCCTGCAGGTATTTTACCATAGCCTAAAGAACTAAAGACAATTAAACAAGGTGGCCGTTGTAATGTCATGGGTACCAATTAGTTTTTATAAAGATTGCATAATAAATGATTCATTGGAATATATTAAAAACCCAGTATTTTTGGCGAATGGTGTGCAATCGAATGTAAACAGTAGTCTATGATTATGCAATGCATACGCATCTCAATGGTCGCGTGGCGATTGGAAGCTTTCTCTTATATCAATGGACCACGCCCTCAACACTCAGTTTAAATAGAGAATGTTATTTTTTTGATAAAGCCAGTCTATTTAGATAAATATACGATTCAGTCAGAATTAGCATGATGGTGGAAATAACATTTTTTTATATGACATTGACATATTTTAGTGCCTCCAGTCTTGGTGGTTACTTGCGTGTTGGTTACAAACAGAAGTCACACATCACGGAAAATGTATTTGTTTTTCTATGCAATACTTCTCTCTCTTTTCTTCTCTATACAGAGTAGTAGGCTTAGACCGCTCATGAAACAAAAATTTTTTTTACGTGACTAAAACATGAACATAGATTACAATCAATGGACTAAATTATTTGTCCTTTAATACGCTAGATATTGATAGTGTGGGATGATCATTTCGTAACCGTCTTGTCCATAATTGTGATCTTAAACGATTGTTGTTACAATGGGCGGTTAACCTACATTGCACAGAACATCATGATAAATTGTTTATGATAAAATATAAACAGGTTTATAGATTTGTCATTGTGTCTCTTATACGTATTAAAAACATTGCAGATTTTGTAGGTCTTAGACTTCCTTGTTTTTGTCGTATTAATGTGCTTAAATATTAATAAATATTTTGAGTAGAGACCTGCATGCTGTACAACGCACCATTTGATAACAATGCCTGATGTAATGTTGTCTTATTGATTACGGAGCATTACACAGGATTGATTACCTATTATCGTAATTTTATATTTCTCGATGTTTCGCATACCATCAACAGTTTCCATACTTGTACGGTTTTGGAAGTTGAATTTGAAAAAAAACTAAACTATAGAAATTTCTTATTCTTAGCCATATCGTAATTGATGCGTATATCCTTATATAATAATATATATTTTTACATAACTATGTATAGTGTGCATATACAAGAATTCATATAAAATTATACGAAAGCGTTTACGTTTTAAAAATGCAAACTTTTACAAACTAAATTGTGAGATTGCGAAACTGAATTTTCCAGCAAACGTCGCTTTCCACAAAATTAGCTCTGTAGTCGATGGACCGGAAGCAATATGGCAGGTGAAATGCAAAATGTTGCGGAAATTTCCAACTGACCACAATTTCACACCTTGTGTTTCATATTTTGTTATATTTCTATGGTATCGTAAAACTATTTAAGCTCGAATCGTATTTTATTTTAAATAATACGTGGGTATATCCTAAAACTTTCAAAGGATTTAGTTGTATACCCACAAAATTTTTTGCACAGTAGATTATATACCAGTAACAGTGGTTATTTCTTCATAGGCAAGTAGATCAGAAGTCATCATGACACACGCTACCCATCTATCCATAATCTATATAAATAAAAATAAATTGCTGTTAGTTAGTCCCGCTAAAACTCGAGAATGGCTAAACTGGTTTGGCTGATTATGATCTTGAAATATTTGTGGAAGGAAAGGTTTAAACGGTGGGAAACATGAATAAAAATGGGTAATATTTGTTGTCTTTTGTGTTTTTATAAATAAAAAATGGTTACTTGGTTGTCATTTGTTTATAGATGCCTTCAGAAATTTTTCATAGATAGCGAAATTTTTCGTAGTATGAGGTCCGGTCAAGTCTGTTTTGACACATAATATATATACAAGTCATATCACCTATATATATATATATATATATATATATATATATATATATATATATATGTAGGTGATACGACTTTGTATCGGTTCACCTAGTTGAACAAAAAATTGGCGTAAAGCTGGCCTCCGAACGCACGGCCTCATGGTTGTAAGTCCCAATCCAATAGCTAATGTTACTCTACAATAATACAATAAATACTTAATTTAAATCACCTGCTTCAATTCATTCTGCATTACATACGTGACGAAGGAATAAATCAATAATTAATGTTTACACATCCTACAAGATACATACAAACGCTATTTCGAAGCACTATTATTACGAAGCTGCAAGTTAGCCGGGTCCACATTTGTAGCATTTCGGTGTATCGTATCTCCGTTGCGTGGCTTCGGCGCGTATCATGATCGTTAGTTTGGACGCAAAATGATACCCGTTTATGATACATGCCGTATCGGATACGGCCCGATCCGCACTAAGCGCGTATCTTGATACACCTCGTATCCGATACGCGTATCACGATCGGTGGTATGGACGTATTTTGATACTGTATCACGATACTGTATCGCGATACGATACTTGATACACCGCGAACCATCCTGTGTCGGTTTTTTCGCGATCATCAAAGGGAATACACAACATCAATGGGTGACATGCGAGTGAAATTTTTGTATTTTCCGCTGGTATGCTGAAATTTTAAATCTCGCATCAATGGTATTCCACCATGTTTGTTTCGGTTTCTAAACACTTCCAGCGCCGTCTACGTCTAGATTTAACTTTTTTTTAAATACTATTAATGATAATATAACAGGCGCTAGTCACCGCCAAACTGTGAGCAATTGCTGACATGGTTAAACCGTTTTGGAACGAAGACATGACTGAACATTGCGAGAAGGGAAAGGTGCACTGAAAGACACGCGCATCATGATACATCGGAAGAAAAGTGAAGCGTCTATATTTGTAAAGTTAAAGCCGATACACTGACATGATACAGCATTTGATAAGTATGGACGCGTTTTTTACAAGATACGCCTTAAATATACGACATGGACAAAATGAGCGTCCATATTTATGATACAGATACTAGATACGATACGACTGATCGTGATACGTCAACATGCTACAAATGTGGACCCGGCTTTAGCCTATCTTCATGACTCTCTCCTTAAGCGGGCCATAGACGGACCGCATGTTGCAGTCAAGACCGACGGCAACATGCGGTCCGTCTATGGCCCGCTTTAGATCATCACGTAAGTTTAGAGAGACTAAGGGTGAAACAGAAACGGAACTTTAATGAATGTCATGTCAAAATTCAATACATTTATGACGTACGGGAGTCAAACTTAGTGCTAAGTTAATTATGAATTTTAATTATGCTTAAGCTATTTATGAATACCGCTTAGAGCTAGTCAGTAGTTAGAATTTACTCTCACCTAAATTGATTATTACACATAGACTGTATACATCTCTGGGGTGTCTCTGGGCTGCGGTTTTTTTTTTTACGAGCACGCTATTCAGACAATAATGATTATTGACTGAATAGCGATAAGAACTGGTAATTCAAGAAAAGGGCGTACTGAAATTCGAAATCGTTTAGTCATTTAGGTAACACAATGTACACTTATGAACGTCAATAAAGATTGTTTTTTTCAAAACTTATTCTTAAAAGGCTGGCAACGCACTTGCAAGTCTTCTGGCAATATGAATGTCCATGGGCGACGATATCACTTATCAACAAGTAGGCCTCCACCCGTTTTCTTTTGTTATATAAAAAATTGGTATAAAGAGGCTTTTGTGATAATGTTATAATTATGTAAGTAATAATCGAGATGTTTAAATGTTTTCTTTATTTCCATAAAGAACAATGACCTCTTGATCAATTCATAACTTCAATAACATACAAAATTATCTCATATACCGTTGCTAAACAATCAAACTTGTATATCAAGCTAATAATTTGTATTTTATTAACATTTTCCATTTAGATAATGCTCTATTTCAATGTGAATTACTTGATGAAATGGGCGATAAACTATATAAACCGGACAAGTCTAATCTAGACCATATCCAATTTTTAAAGAATAAATTCAGAATAACACCACATCACCACTAAATTAACCATTAGCTGATAAAAACAAACTAGCGAAATACGAAAGCATTTTCTAGAATTTTATTTTTTAAAAACAGTTTAGTTCCGATATTAAATGCTTGTTCGTTCTCTAAAATCTCTTTAAATTTGATAAAAATTATATTGGTAATTTAATTAGTTTATATTACCTTAGGCCTGAACTAAAATGTTATGGCTAGGACAAATTCGACTTAGGGTCCTTAAAGAAAAGAGCGTACCATTTCTTAAAAGGCCGGCAACGCACTTCTAGCCTGGAATGTGAGTGTCCATGGGCAGTATCACTTCACATCAGGTGAGCCTCCTGCCCGTTTGTCTCCTATTACATAAAAAATACTAGCCACAATTTTTTTTACGAAATTATCGATATTTTTATGCTCTCAGAGCGAATTTGCGTTATACGTTAAATATCCTGCTACAGTAATTAAGTCACACAACTATCGCATTAGCTATTACTTGTTAAGGTAGTTGTATAAATAAATAAATAAATTATGTTGGAGTCACAAATATTGTAAGTGACGCTCATCTTTCAAGACAATATCAAATCTCTTCAGCATTTAATTTTCATATATAACTTTCCGACACATGGTTAATTACCCGTCTCACAATGCGAGTTCAACGAACTTAAGAATCTGGTTCACAAATATGCGATCTTTTGCTATTATAAAATTTTATTGACAGTCTATTAACAAGTTGATATACCATAATATATTTATTTATGGGTTTAATTTTGTTTTGCCGATTCTCAAACAATATTTGTTTATATTTCATAGAAACATTTCCTTTAAAACAACAAATACACGTGATCATTTCATAAACTTTGCCAAATTATACACATTTTATTATCGCGTTCCTATCACTGTAATGATATCTTACGTAACCACATTGTGGCTGTAATGACACATCACAGGTAACTAGTTTTTTAATGATGAAAACTAATCTTCTGCAACAGAGAAAGTGGGTCTTTATAATTAGGTTTATTATTATACAAATATTTAAAAGTACACAGACAAATACGGTAGACCATTACGAGACACACTTGTTAAGGCTTTGACTTTTGGACTTTTGCAATATTTTTAAGCGGTTTTTGGTACTTTTAAGTTCATATATAACTCTTGTCTATGTATCTCGTGACCTCAAAATAAAAATATTACGCAGTTATTCCTCGATAACAATGTACAGTACTAACAGCGATATCATATAGAAACGAATGTGTTCGATTCCCGGTTGGAGTACAAAATATTATCAAACATCTTCTCCGCCTCTAATGGGTTGTGACCCGACCGAATGATTAATTCTTTCATGTGGATGATGAAATTTCTATTGCAATTAGTAAAAACTTAGGACAAAGCAACGCAACAATTCACTTAACCGATGTATAAAATATCTCTATGGATTAAAAAAACTAGAGACTTTTTGGGCTAAAATATTTATTTTATTTATGATTATTTCAGGCAAACTGGTTCAAAGCGCAACAATACTGCAGATTCCACGGCATGCATCTTGCGTCAATTTCTTCGCAGGAAGAGAACGACAGGCTGGAGAAATACGTTAGAGAATCAGGTATGTATGAAAAAAACCTATGCAGTTTTAGGTAGTGTTTTAGTATTTATAATTTAATAACCATATATAGGTAGTATTTTACAATACATTTAATATTCTGACGGACCCAAACTTTAGTACGATAATGATGTTCCTTTAAATATCCTCTTCTAAGACCCATATTATAAATCGCATCACAATCTTGTACGCTACCAAACTTCTTAAATTTTATTGAATCTAGTGTAAAATCTAAGACGATTAAAAAACAGACATTAAGGCGCTATTCTTATAAACTTTGAGCGTTGGTGGTCTACATATACAAATAAAAAAACGTGTGGCACTCGGTGACTGCCGCGGTAAAGCTATTGCATAATTTTTTTTCAACTTATGCTATTATAATTATTTATTTATGCTGTATTTTTTTTTCTTTGATATTAATTCAAGTTTTTTTCTTTGATAAATTAATTAAATCTACCACTCTACCAGACTCAGACTAACTCGCCTATATAGTCTGTCTCACTCTAAAGCTAACCGGCTGCACCGATCTCGTCAGAGAGATGTGAATACGCAGTATGCGTTCTGTCCCGCTCTAACGCGTAGTGGCCGCACCTATACTACGTCATCGTGTGTTAGGATTTTTTGTTACGGAATTTCTTGATTCGGTCGCCGCGCTCAAAGCCCGCGATAAAATCTATGCAATAGCTTAATAATAGTACAAAAAACGTTGTTGAATAAAGCTTGTAGTACTTTCATGAACAAGACCGCAACATACCCAGTGTCACTTTTTATGAAATTCCGCAGCTTCTGAAATTTTCTTTGGTGTCAAAATAAAAGTTTAATGTGTCAATTATACGTGGTTAAATAGTATTAAGTCTTCACATGCTGACTGTTTCTCCAATTATATCATTATAAAGAAAATAACTGACGAACAATGACATGAAATTAACCTAACCTTTCATATTATCAGCCGGCATATGAGGCTATAAAAAGGCATTTTAATTACACATGTACCATATGTATCACCTTTATGAAATGTATGACAATATAGTTCGCATATATTAGTAACAATATTATATCCGATACTTTACATTTAAATACATTTATATTTCTATCATAACATTCCCCCCCTTTTCAGGCCTTCCAAATCCCCCCATTTACGTCTGCACTGTACCATATACCATCTGCTGTTTTCTTCATCTGATATATCCACCTTCTAAATAATTGTCTTCCTCTTTTGAGTTTATTGTACCTTGGGCACCAACTTTAATACGTTTAATACCTTGTTGCACCATTTCTGTTCCTCTTGCCATGTGCCCCGCCCATTCCCATTTAAGTTTATTTATTGTCTGACCGAGGTACGACTATACAGCGACTATTCTATAATACCGTTTAAGAGTTTTATTATATATAGCATATATCACATCATCATAATAATATGACAATTCTTATTTTTTTTTCACTTTTAAAAACATTGTTGCTTAGAAGTGCCATTTTCTTTTTATTAAGTAGGCTTTTGATCTTTTTTCAGCCTTATAGTCCTTTTTGTTATTATTTTAAATGTACTTATGTTAATAAAATGTATGTTGACGCTATATTAAGTTACTCTTACATCGTCGATACCACTAAATACTTATATATAGAAAATATTTTTTTAAACGATGTCAATTATTAATTTACTATTTATTATTTACAATAACTCAATGTTTCATTCAGTCACCGATGCAATTATAATGAGATATGGAATGCTTCATAACAAAACCGCGTCTTGCCGCGTCTTTGTTAACGCATTTTTAATGAAACTCTTTAGAAATTTTTATAAGATTCTTTTTATGAAATGTTTTAACTGGATTTAAAAAATGGTTATGTTCTGTGTTACATTTACTATTCATTGATTTCAGGTTACGGCCGAGAGCACTTTTGGACATCTGGCACTGATCTGGCCGAAGAGGGCAACTTCTTCTGGATGGCCAACGGTAGACCTCTCACATTCGTCAACTGGAACGCGGGTGAACCAAACAACTTCCGCTACGAGAACGGCGAAGAAGAGAACTGCCTTGAACTCTGGAACAGAGATGACAAAGGTCTTAAGTGGAATGATTCTCCATGCTCGTTTGAGACCTTTTTCATTTGTGAAGTTCGATCTGATTGATTTAAAGGTGCTTGACACGATATAATGTAGTTTAATTTATTATTGTTTTATACAATGATAATGATTGAAAATCTATCGTTTTTCCGGATTTAATTTTGCCTTCATAGGATCAGACATTTTTTTATAAAGCCTATTCATTTATTTATAATGGTCATATTTCAAAGAAATCATTTGGAAATTACTACACGAATTTCAGGAAATAATTTGACTGAATATTATTTTTTCTATTATCTGAGTATGCTATGAATTAATGCTGTTTACCTACCTACATAAATATGTGGGTACAGTATATTAGTATAAGCTAATACAAAGAAAACATTCTTTAAAAAATTTGTTAAAACAACAAAAAAAGTGCGTGCGTACCAAGTACACTTGTCAGTAGTGAAACTTCTTTGGCAAACTAATTTTTAAGTCTTGTTCATATTTATACAAATCTAGAACTTTAGATTTCCGAGACTTAGAGAGAGGGAAAAAGGAAGATGTGTTAGGAATTTAATTGTCATTAAAATATAAACATTGTCGAAAATTAATACAAATTATAAATATAATTTCTTTATTTTATTTCTTCGATAGTAAAAACACGTGGCATTTTAATTTACAATTCGTCATTAAATTATATTGGACAAAATATAAAATACTTATATTTCATAAATTCTCTTTACGAAATTTTAATTTAAAAAATATAATTTTTATAAGGTAATTCGCCCTTTTCACTCTCTCTCAATCGGTCTCAATCGCTCTCTCCCTTTTCTTCGATAAAACGCTGCACATCTTCGTGACGCTAATATTATTATTATTGCGTTTCATCCGTAAAAACTTTACCCTTATGCGCCTAAAGAAGTTTCACTTCAAAAACACAGAACATTTAAAAAAGAATGTATGTAAATGTAAAACTCAGCGACAGCTTTGATTCCAATCATTTTACGGCCATTCAAAATAATTAACAAATACTTCATAGTCTTCCATACTGTATTCTATGTCAAATATAGGCGAAAAATCTGCTCCAATTTATTATGTATATTAATATCGTGTCTTGCTATAATAATTCATTTTGTTGTGATATAAGAATAGTGTGCTAGATTTTATATTTGAAAAGAGTTAACGGTCAGTACGCTTCAACAGTTTGTTTCTAAACAAATTGTTCTGGTTTAGATAGTTATTTATTTGAAAATGTACTGCTAATACTTGCGTCTTATTAAAATAACATCACGGATAATTATTAATGAAAGCTATATTACAGCGCGTTACTTAAATCTTATCTCCATATATTATGTCCATTGTTAATCTGTAAACTATGATAGTTCTGATAGTTCTCAAGTCTACGGGAACATATTTGTAACTAGTTAAAAACCTTTTTATTGGGTTTATAGATAAAAAGATTACATAAATTAGATTTCAATAAATAAAATCTAAAATATCATTATAATTCTCTCCACTATTCAGATAATATTATTTGAGAATATTCTTAAAGTATTCGGGGAATATACACTTTCTTTTGTTTAAGGCTAAATAATTTCCTGCACAGAACATAAGTGTTATTATTAATACAAAAAAGTATTTATATCCTTGAAAAAGGTTTTCTATGTTATTCTCTATTGTCGAGTTAGTGTCAGCTCGCTTCAGTTATATAAAAATTGTATTAGCAGTACAATATGTGTATCTATTATTAAAATGTGGAATTCAAAAAAATAGTTAAGTAGTAACGATCACTGCCATGATCCAGTTACCAGAGCATCAGTGCTCGACGGACGGACGTCCATAGTCAAACTAGTGTTAGTACATGTTACCTTATGTAAAAATAGGTATAAGTTTAATAAAAATCGAATTTTTATATTGTCTTTTATTCTTTGTAGTATAAAATTCACCCGATTTGACCAAGGCCGTTACTCTATTGAGATTGGACATTAATGTAGTATACATTATATACATATGTATTGTATGTTACATTATGTATGTGCACAGAGCTTTTTAAAATCAAGCCTGTAGTTTTTGGGTTTATATATATTACAAGAACATACAAATCTTTTCTATTAAAATAAAAAATGTTTATTAGTAATCATAACAATCAAATATACAGTATTTACAATTTTCTTTGACATAATAATAATAAAAATAATTAAAAATTAATAAAAAGAAAATGAAAACAAATTTAAAAGTTTGGTCCCTGTGGCAGTGTACCTTTACCGGCAGCATTTCCTAGCTGTATTGCGATACTTATTAGTTGAGCGAGGAAAGCACCAGCTCTGGGGTCACCGATACTATCTACTTGGCGCCAACTTAAATCTTTAATTAGTGCCTGTGCACTTGAACCCCACGGCCCAAGAGTCTCTACTCCAAAGGGAACAAAATCGAAGTTTGAGGAAAGACTTATATTTGAGCCGTTTATTATTTTCCGCCTGCTCTGCGGCCGCCCCAGCTTTTTTGCTCGTCCGAGGGAGGTGAGACGGGGCTAATCTATTCTATTTATATTTGAAATTACTACTTTTCGGTGGTCGAAAAATTACCAAAGTTTTAAAGAAAAACGTTTTCATACTGAAATTTACAAAATATGTATTCTATACTCTGATTTTTCATTCCGTAGAATTCTAACATTTTATAAGACGTGTTGCTACTAAAAAGTTCTTCACCGAAAAAGGGACAAATTTGACCCATTTGAGGGCAATAAAATAAAATGCTAGGTATTTTTTATGTTTTACCTCCAAATACTATAATATTTACTTACTCAAGTGACCTAATACAGAAATAACAAATATTTCAATACCACGAACAATATACCGAAGTAACTTTGATGACTTTATTTTATTCTTTAGCTGGCATCACTGCCTACCAATTCCAGGTTTATTAAACCTTTAAAAAAAATTAAATGTTATCTTTACTTGTGCGTTATTTACTGTTTGTGATGAAAAGGGACGTAATTATGTTGAGCACCGCACTAAACTAACAAATAAAATGTCATATAGAGTCAGATGTTCAGACTCGTATTGAAATTGAAACATGTGCCCAGCCAAAAAGGTTTGTAATCTCTGATATGTCAAAGAATCATTCTTCAGCTGTCAGAATTCTACGGAATTAAAAATCAGAGTATATATTTAAAATCACAATTTCAAATTAAATGAATAATTGTTTAATTCACTGTACTTTAATTACTCACTTAAATAGTCTATGTTCATTTCCAAGATACCATTCCTCCTTCACATTAAAACGTAGCAACAATGTGTTCATTCCTATGTAACAACACGCTATGGGTATTGTAAAACGACAAAAGACTTGACTTAAGGATACGTGACATTGTGTACCACGACTACACTGTTCTGTGTACACAGTGTGTAGCTAGGTGACCAAGGGCCCTGGGGCAAATTAAAAAATGGGGCCCCACTGCTATGTAAACTGATTAGATTTTATCAAATAAAAATATGAAATATACAAATACTTTAAAAATGCTAAGCTACTTAAGCTCTTTTTGTACAGGGCAGGTAATAAAAATATTAAATAGTAACAACATAAATTACGATTAATACTTGGTGTAGGTTTGGCGAATAAAATGAAATAGAGAAGATTCAAGGGTTTATTATATTAAGGTCGGGCCTACAAACTGACTAAATAACAATTATATTTACAATTTTTTCCTACTAAATAACAATTGTATTTACAATTTTTTCTTAGTTTTCGCAAAAGTATCAATGACTTCGTTTAAATCCAGGCTTGATGCGGTTTTTTTTTCAATTGCTATCTAATTCGCGTTATACAATGAGCTGTAGCCGAAATCTTTAGATTTGACACGATTTATTGATTATAACGGACATCAATATGAGTGTATTAAAATCAAATAAAATTGAACCATTATATTGACCAGTACAAAAAAGTTTATTGACATTAGCTTACTTACTCCTAAGACAGCATGAATTTTTTAACTATTCTAAAAAAAAATCTTAACTCGAATTCACAATAAAACGCACATCGATGAATAATAAAATGCACATATCGCTATCCGTCAAATTGACAACACTGTCAACTTACAGAAAGTATTTAGGGGAATTCCCTAGGCATAACTTTTGAATTTCTCTCAAATTAATGTCTTGATTAAAGTGGGGTTGCAACCTGTCATTATTATTTTGAAAATGGGAGAAATTTCCAAAAGTTCAGAACGATCGAGATTTCTGGTAAGGATTCGAGGGCCCCCTGGCTTGGGGGCCCGGGCCCGCCTGGCCCCTAGGTAGCTACGCCACACTACACACAAACATTTTTGTTGCTATTTAGTCAGTGCAACTATGTCAGCTAGCATCCTTTAATAAATACCCACAATACTACAACTCCCTAGTGTATTTAGTCCCCTTTTATATTTTCGATAGACTCCTTTTTCTATAGTAGGGAGCCCACGATGCTAAATGGGGATTTACTCGAGCGTCGTAGAGACCTATTGGGATGCAAAGCTTAGATAATAAGAAGAAAAAAATGTTATATGATAAATTCCTTTTCATCGGTGGGGGAAGCGGCTATAGATAGTTAAATATGTAAAAAAAACTGTTGCATGGACATCCTCGAGCGCGTCAGATATTGATAGCATCTATGCCCTACGTATTTTTAATAATGTACGTATGTTAATCTGATCGTTTGCATGATGCGGGTGGTTGTATTTAAGGGTTGAAAATGAAAAAAAAATAATTTTATCGAGCGCGTCAGATTTTCTAAGGGAGTGTTAAGTGCACCAAAAAAAGCTCTCATTCACTAATCTGACGATTTCGATGGGACGCAAACCCACAGCCATTTTCATAATTTGCAAAAAAAAATCGCAATTTTGAAATACTCAAGCGCGTCAGATTAAGATATATGTGGTTCATCTTTATGTTCTAAACGTACTGTCTCATAATCTGACGATTATCTAGAGGGATTCGCCTGATCTGACAAAAAAAATTTAGAAAAACGGTTCACCTAAAGGGCCATCCCTGCAACTTCCCGCTAATTCCATTCCTGGGCGCTTAAAATTGATATTTTGAGCTCGC